AAAAAAAAAGTTAGATCTTATCAGGTGAAAATTAAATCCTAGTAGGATATTTTACCATACCACTGTAATTTCTCCAGTGAAGGATTGAACAAAACTTAATGTTTAGGTAAATTAGAAGCAAAGTCCCCTAAAAGAAATTGGATTAGAAGGTGGGGAATCTGTCACCACATGTGGCCTCAAGGCCACAAGTTCCTCACCCCTGGAATAGATTCTACAACTCAAAATGTAAGTTTCACAATTAATGAATATAGTATTAAAAAAAAATTTGTATAGGAGAGATTCAGTGGAGTGTTAGACTGGGATATGATTGGAAAATAAGGTGAATTGGATAAATAAAGTAGGGAAGGTAAGTGAAATGTCAAATTAGAAGGTTTTGAAGTTTGTAGGGCTTTAATCAAAGTCAAGCAGAAGAGAAAAGAGAGAGAAGGTTTAAGAAAGTAGAGGTGAGAAGAGAATGGATAGAAATTTAAAGAAAGTTGGAATCCATTTGTACTGATAACATGAATGGAAGGTAACATGAAGTAAGAGTTTGGATTTATGGAAAGAGACTTTTGAGGAGGTTTTTGATCTCATTGACATAAGAAGCAACTAACACCATTTGGAGAAATGCCTATTGGCAATTTAATATTGGCAATATCCTATCAAGTTATAATATTTATCAAATAGAAACTATAGAAATAAATTTGCCACATGGAATTATTTGGGGCATAGCATACTAAAATTCTGCCCTTGAAGGAACATTTCCCCTAAAGAAACAAATCTGGTTAAATAGACTGTATAAGTAAACTAAGTCAGGTTGCAGATAATACACTGTTTGCAAAATCCTACACTTACAAAACTACAAGGCTACATTTAAAAGAAGTAACAAAAGGCTAATTGAAAGAAAGAGATTTAAATGTCACTAAAATAATCCCAGGCAGATGGGTGGTACCATGGATAGAGCACCAGGAGGATGTGTTTCAATCTTTATGTGAGAGATATACCATCATTGTTTGCAATTTCCATATTTTAGGAGAGCATCACGGGCTCCAAATGAGGGAGGTGAGCATGTTAGACTGCCACCATAAATCTTTGGAAGTAAGCTCACTGAAAACATCTAGCCCTTGGGAAAATAGAGATTTTGAATGATACCTCTTGTAATTGTCAATCCAGATATGATTTGACTGAGTTTGTCCTTAAACTAAATTATGATGTGGTCTCATTTAAAGTGAGGCATGTTCTCCTAGGATAAGTATATTTTAACCTCTATAGGTAAATCAGAACTTAATGCAAAATATACTTGATATTTGACATCAAGGCAATATGCTTAGAAACTATATGCATAGCCCTGGAGATAGGAGGACCTGAGTTCAAATCTAGCTTCAGACACTTGACACTTAACTAGCTGTGTGACCCTGGGCAAGTCACTTAACACCAATGCCTTGAAAAAAAAAAGAAAGAAAAAAAGAAACTGTGTGAATAAGAATTTAAAATGTAATTACTTTAAAATTACCCTATATTGGTTTTTGAATGCAATTAATATAAAATGCCATACTGATAGATGGATGAAATGATTTTCTATGATTCAAAAATGCATTCAACTGAATTGATGTTATTTGATGGGAAATTAATTTTGTTTATGTCTTAAACTCTATAATGTTGTTTATGTTATTGTGAGACTTCTAATTTTTCTTGTATTGTGATTTTTGGGAAATCATTGTAAAAGATATGCTGTGAATTTGAAAAATAATATCCAGAGAGTGATATAATTGTATCCCTAAAAATTAACTTCTCTTTTAATCTGGATGCTGTTAGATTATGAATTGAACTGTTAGAAAAATGTGGTCATACCATTTCAAAACTGTTGAGTATTTCATTGGGTCTATTTTATTTAAAAGGAATAATTATTATAATTTGCTCTTTGGCAAAAATATGACTTTGTAAATTCTCTTATCCATGAAGTTCTTTGCGGATTTACCAACTTCATTGGGACCTTCTATTTGGGCAAAAGCATAAATATTATCAGCCTTAGTGATAGCATGCTGTGAAATTCTAAAGTAAGGAAGTGGTTTAATAAGAAACTAGGATCTCTCACAGTTAAAATAATGGGTTGTATAAGTTTGTTTTTTATAAGAAGGTATTTTTATCTAATAGATTGGCTATTGCTCATTAAAATTATAGAATTGTACTGGAATAGTATGTATTAAAGTTACATCTTTAAACCAACTTAGTCCCAATAGGCCCCAGATTTAAAGATTTTATTTTGGACTTGGAGGTTAATATGCCATACCTTAAGATATGGATATCTGTCACCATGGAAACTTACAGTGACTCAGATCTTTCTGACTCCAGGCCTGGTACTCTATCCACTCACTGCACCACCTAGTTGCCTGGGATTATTTTAGTGACAGATGTCAACAATTTACCAAAGGTTTGGTCCAAAAAACAAACAGGATCAGTTTCCCCCTTAACTGAAAGTTTGTCCAAAGAACAAATGGAATGGGGCTCCCCCTTACCAAAGGTTTGTTCAAGAACAAACAGAATGGGGTTCATCTTACCAAACATTTGACCAAAAAACAAACAGAATCAAGCTGTACATGTGCTGTAATGTGCTTATTTATTCTCATTAAGTCAGAGAATTATACATTGGAGTCAGAAAATAATTCTGAATTCAGAGGTAAACAAGCTGATGGAGACCCTTTATTCACTTAAAACAATCCCAACTCAGGATGCCTGTGTCTACCAAAATTATAGTCTCCATAAGTGTTAACCATAATATGAGCAAGGAATTTTTTAATAGGATAGGTTGTAAATATAATAAGATAAGAGAATGTTAAGGTGTCAATTGAAATGTCTGTGTTTCTTGTATCATTAACATGACTACATATATATGTATATATATTTATACATATACATATATACATATCTCTCATAACATAGCATAATATGTGTCCATAAAATACCAAGATAAGAAAAGTCACATTATTCAATATAGTGTCTGGTTCAAGGCATCTTGTCCTGGACAGTCATAAACAGAAGAATGCTCCTGATCAGCTTCATCTGTCCTTGTAGTTGCTGACATAGGAAGTGGCATTTTGGGTTCACTTCGAGAGCAAAGCAAAGCCTTTCTGTTATGGCAGAGCACCAGACACATTGTGGCGGGTTAAGCTCAGAGTGGGCCAAAGATGTCTTTCTCTTTATTGGTCAATCCAGGTTTGAGGCCTTTCTCAGGTGATGGGCCCCCCTTCTCAAAATGGTTCACACAGGTAAATCTCTTCCTTTCAATTAGCCCATTGTGACTTCTTTTAAATGTATCCTTGCAGTTTTGTAAGTGTAGGATTTTGCAAACTCTTTTTAATTTGTAACCTGCCTTAGTTTATGTATAGTCTATTTAACCAGATTTGTTTCCTTAGGGAATATGAAATTATGATTTTATTCTAATTTACTTTGTCCAATCTTAATTGAAGAAAGCATTAGATATTGAAAATGTTTTACTAAGCCTGTGTAACCTTTATGGCCTACACCATAAAGACTGTTATATGTTAAAAAATGATTCCTCTGCCTCTCTGATGTAATTTTCCATACAAATACTTGTCAGAAACTCCAATCTTGGTTCAGGGTTAGTTTTTGAACCCTGAATCTGTGCTTAAGCATAACGAAACCTAGGTTTTTATCTCTGTAGTTTCTGTGTTTTGGTAGGTTTATTTCTGCAGCAGTAACCTGCCACCCCAACTCAAAGTGGACATACTTCTGCCATCACAAAAGCTGTTTTCTTCGTCTCTTTTTCTAGATTGTCCTTCACTTCTCTAGATTTGCATTCCCAATCTATTGTTCTCTCTTTTTTTCCTTGGGGGGGGGGCTTGCCATGGCAGATTCCAGTTTTTCTACTCTGCTCAGTATTTTTGCTGTGCCAGCCATAAATTATGCCCTCATAATTCTCATTTCTCTTTTAAGCCACTCAGGAACAATGTGCGGTTGTTCCCCATTTTTTTCACATTCCTGAGGATCCTCTGTCTCAAGAGTTGGATCATTTTCCTTTGTTTTGAAGGATTTATAAATGCCTGAACCCCTTTACTAGATCTGGAGGCCATATTTCTTTTGGCTATTAATGTTTTCTCTCTTGATTTATCTGAGTATGTTCAAGGTC